TTAAATGAATAAGAATCTGATTCCATTGTAGATAATTTCAAGTAGATAACAACGAAACAGTTCATTATCATCCCAATTAATTTTAATTTCAAATTTTTTGCATTTTCATCTATATTAACTTCTCTCGTAAAAAACGTACAAATGATTAAAATAAGGTTGAAATTTGCCAAACATGAATATAGTCTAGTAGTAATTGATATCTATTCATTTTTTTGAGGTGGGAGGTTTAAATTCCTATACTCTAAATTTGTTGTACTAAAAAGTTTAAATTTTATTTTAATATTTGAATCTTAACAATCATTTTAGTAATATTATTATTTTGTGAATCGCTAATAGATAGATAACGAGCCAAGTAAGATTTCTTTTAAAGTTTAAAAATCAAAATAGAATAAATTTGAAAGACAAACTATAAAATTTCAACCAGAGTAGAGCCAGAAAAATGGATACCGAACGAAGGTTTTTCTAAAAAAATAATAATAATAATAATCCGAAAATTTGTGGAAATTGAATCGTATCTCTTGCACTTAATAATCCATCGTTCATCAAAAGGAAAAAGAATTGGGATTTTTATTAGGAAAAAGTGGGGGATAAATGATGGGATTGCCGGCTAAGATCCGGTGCAATCATAAGTACCATAAACTAATGGATTTATTTACAGATTCCAAGTTGAACAATGATGGAGAGCCTTCTGATCATCAAACTCCTTCCCGATCAGACGGCTCTGATTAAAGCAATATGGGTGACGTGGAATTTTAAAATTAGAAGCAAAAAGTTTAAAATTAAAATTTAATTATGTTGTTTGTCTCCATTCATAACATGTCTCCCCTGTGGTCTGACAAATCTTGCTGACTCATTAATATGATTTATCTTCTCTAATAATGGCAGATTCCAAGTTTTTTATTTTTCGGAATTTGTAAATTATTTGTTTCAAATTTCAATGTTGAAAACAAAAATTTTCTTTGTTGATAATTAATTTTGCGAGGTTTGAAATAGTCGTTTTCTTTGTCTTTATAATAATAAGGACTAATCTCACAAGTAATATATCCAAGAGAAGAGAATTGGATTATTGAGACACTATTTGTTTAAATTTATGGTTTGGAATACTTATATTTCATTTCTCTTTTTATATTAATTATTCCATAAGAATTTGAATCTACTTTTTTTTTAGTTCAACAAATGAGGTTTAGACATCTAATCTTTTTACCTTAACCAATTGACATATGATCGATTTTAAAATTTAAGGATTGATCTATTACTTATATCTTCAAATATTGTCCATGGTAGACATCTATTATTGGGGTAAACGAACAAAATATATTGTTTTCGTACCAAATTTAGAAACTAAAATATAATGTTGGGAATTTTATTAAAAATGAAATGAAATGAAATTTAAACAGTTTACTGAAAATTTAAGTGATTATTGTATACCTATCTCTATCTTGCTTATTTCTACATTCAACCTTCAACAGGGTAAATTTAACAAAAAATAATAATAATAATAATAAATAAATATATATATATATATATATATAGAGAGAGAGAGAGAGAGAGAGAGAGAGAGGTTAAGAGAGAAATCATGTAAAATTCGGAAATAGTTAATAGCTATAGGAGAATTTAGTTTGAAGTAAAATAATGATTAGTTTTCCTTTGTTGAAACTTACAAAAATTAAAGATTCATGAATTTCCTAAACAAGAAGGTAGTACCACCTTTTTCAAATGAAAGCTTTTAACATTAAAAAAAAGGAAGGTGAAATCATACCAAATGCCTTTAAATTCTTAGCCTTTAAAGTTGTTTCAGGAATACCACCCCTCAACTTTTCCATTAAAAATAGAATGGAAATATGACTAACTTTTATATAAGTTTCAATTATCAACCTATTATCTCAAAAGTATTTAAAAGTGTTTTAAAAACCATTGCACTAACTTGGTCATTAAAATGTAGACTAAAACACGTGACAGTGAGTTGTAAAATAGAGGTTACACGTGAGTAAAAATGATAGTTGAAGGGTATTTTAGTCACATTCAAAATGGAGTAGATYATGGAGGGAAGTATATATGGGAGTGTTATTTAAAGGAGAAGCCACATATTTGGCAAAGTCGAAAAAGTTTTGCTGAGGGGAATATGTTCCAAAAAGAAAATTTATAGTGGAGTTCATTTGTACAAAGTGGATGTCCGAAGCTAGGAGGAAGAAAAAAAAAGGCATGGCAATGATTTTCATCTTCAAAAGTAATAAATTTAATTAACAAACAAACTCGTGATCCTGTTTTGTTGTCTTAGGTTTCTTTGTTAGCCCTAAATTTGGTTTGATCACAACAGGAGGAATGATATTTTATCTTTTAACATTTCCACCCTAAATGATATCATTTTTTAATGGGACTAAGACACTTCAAGTTTTTTATCGCTTACCGCCAACGTCAGATTTTCATTTTCATTTAATGAAAAAGCTAACACAAAAGTTGTTTTAAACAATTTAAAAAAATTAATCGTTAAAATAAGACATTTTAAACTATAGGAGTATAATTTAAACTTAACTCAAAGTTCACGAACATTATTAAGTGGCATAAAAAGACCTTCCATGTAAAAGGAGACTAAGATATTAAGAGTTGAGATATAATATTCCTCATCTCTCAACGCCAAAACAACACTTTAAAACCTTGCTTGGACTTTGACTCTATTAAGGATCAAGCCAAAGTATACCATAACCACTCATGACCCCCAACTACTCATTATCGCAGATCTCTTGTCGAGAATCTCGTAATCATGGAAAGGGACGAGCAAGTGGGGGATCCATATACATACACCTATAAATACAAATGGCAGACACCATATGTAGGTACACCATTCGGATTGCTCGCATCCAAACCGAATAGCTTGGACTAGTGAGTATCAGAAGGTTATCTCTTTTCTATGCAAGTTATACTTTCATTCTCCTCCTTAAACCTCGGAGATTTGAACAATCAAAATTGAGTGGAACCATACATAATTAAAATCATACATATGTCCACATGTACCTCGGTTTTAACTACTTAAAAGTGACAAAAGGGGTTTTTTTTTTCTTAAACAATTTTGAAAGTGAGGGTAAAATTGAAAATCTGAAAAAATATGGGCATAATTGAAACCTATCCTAAAGTGAAGGAGTATTTTGTATAACTTAACCTTAACCTTAAAAGAATGAGAAGGTAAATTGGAGAATGCGAATGCAAATTGTTGATTGGAATCAATACTTTTAAACATAAAAGATATTATGTTTCGTTTTCTATTTTTAATTAAAAGTTAAGTTTATTTATTAATAATTGTTTTCATGTTCCTATTTCCTCGATGACTTTCTGTGATCATTATAAAATTTTACAAATTAAAAAAGAAAAGATGACGTTGCACTACTTAAGTTATTGTGAAGCTTTAAAAAATTTGTTCAAAGATTTTGTTTTGGTACTTTAGTTTAGGTTTAAAAATAATTCTCCCCCTAAATTTTATCTGTTTTCATGTTTTTTTAGTTCATCAATTTCATATTTTATTGTTTCAACTTTTATTTATTTATTTAGTTTAATTCTTTATATTTTTAACTAAACTTCATGTTTAGTCCATCAATCGACTTATGTCACATCACATCTTCCTTGATATCAAAATTTAAATTTCATGATAAAGATTAAATAAGAAACTTATATTTAGTTAAAATTTTATTTT